TCTGATCTGATGGATGCTGCTGTGCAGGAGAAGCTGCTGAGTGGGAGAGCGGGGGGCGGGGGAACAGGTAGAGTGCCCTGCATCGGGCCCATCGAGGGGCACACAAGAGATGGCCACTGTGGGTCACCGGAGAACATGAGGGGAGCCATCCTGCCCAGACCCAACCCCCTCCCTCAGGAAAAAGGACCGTTGCAGGAAGGAGGCACCTGATGGATGCTGCTGTGCAGGAGAAGCTGCTGAGTGGGAGAGCGGGGGGCGGGGGAACAGGTAGAGTGCCCTGCATCGGGCCCATCGAGGGGCACACAAGAGATGGCCACTGTGGGTCACCGGAGAACATGAGGGGAGCCATCCTGCCCAGACCCAACCCCCTCCCTCAGGAAAAAGGACCGTTGCAGGAAGGAGGCACACGCAGCAGGGTGGGGCTTCCGCAGGTGCTCCAAATGGACAGCCAAGACCCCTTCTGTCCCCCCACCCCACCCTGCCCCACTCAACAGGAAGACCCACACTTGGCACCCAAGCCCAGAAGGGAGGGTTCCCCCCCCTTTCCAGTGTGGGGGGGGAATGGGACTCACTTCTATCGGCCATTGAGTTCTGGAATTCGATGACCCACGGAGCATCCTTTAGGCCACAAAACATCCACTTTGGAAAAGGAGGAACCGATCAGGGGCAAGGGGTGGGGTGAGAGGGAGACACACACACCCCCTGCGCTGCACACAATTCCTGGCCAGCAGCAGGGCTGAAGCGTTGCCCACTCACCGGACAAAATCGCCACAGATCTCCCAGGACTGCAGCCTGTCAGGCCAGTTCCTCACAACTGGGGGAGCCTCCGCATACTTTTTTGGACACCAACAGCGAACCGATCAGGGGCAAGGGGTGGGGTGAGAGGGAGACACACACACCCCCTGCGCTGCACACAATTCCTGGCCAGCAGCAGGGCTGAAGCGTTGCCCACTCACCGGACAAAATCGCCACAGATCTCCCAGGACTGCAGCCTGTCAGGCCAGTTCCTCACAACTGGGGGAGCCTCCGCATACTTTTTTGGACACCAACAGCTCCCAGCGCTTCCCCCTTCGTTCCCCAACACTGTGGGAAGAAGAGGCAAGCCGGAATCAGGCAAGAGAGTGGAAACACGAATTGGGGGGTGGGGGGTTCCTATAGAGAACAAGCCGCCTTCTCAGCAGCAAGCCATCGCTGCTTCCGCCCCCCCCCCAGGTTCTTGCTGTGGCCTGCACAGCACCTGGCACACAGCTGGCCCCGAAGCAAAGCCAAGGGGGCGAAGAAGGAGACGGCAGGGGGTGGGGGCCAGCAGGGGCGCTTCGCCCTGGTTTCTGCGCTGTGGTGGTGGTGGTGGTGGTGGTGGATGCTGAAGGGGAGGCACACTGCACAAAGGACACACACACCCCAGGCTGCCTGCTGGGGGGGGGACACCCCAAAACGCGGGCTCCTCCATGGTCTCCTCTCTACCTCCCCCCCGGCCCCCGCTCTCCGGGTGGGCTTCTTGCCTGCTGAACATTCATAGCAGCATGTGTCCTAAATTCCATCATTTTTTTTTTGTAGCTTTGCTTTTGTATCCTTTCAATAAATGCAATAAGGAATTGGATGAAAAAGATGAAAGATAAAAATACTGTAAAGGAAATGTTGGGGCAGGAAGAAAGAATCTATTCGTTAAACATATCCCAAATGGAAAGCTGGACAAAGAGGTGGATCAGAAAAGTAGGAGAAATTAGGAAGTTGAGAAAATTTGAGGAGATTATTGAGCAAAGACAAATTCAAGAGGAAGGAAACAAAAGAAAGGGTACAGTTTGTGTAATTTATAAAGTTTTAACATAAGCAGGATCTGGAGAAGCTATGATGAAAAATCAGTGGCAAGAGGAAGAGGTTAAAAGTGAGGATTGGAACAAGATGGGGTCACAAAGAATAACAAAGAATATGTCTATAAGGGTAAAAGAAAATCGTCACAAGGTTGCATGAAGATGGTACTTTACTCCAACAAGACTGAATATAATAAATAAAAATGTACCATCTCAGTCCTGGAGAAACAAAAGAAAAAGAAAAAGGGACCTATATGCGTATGTGGGGAACTTGTGAAATAAGAAAGAAAGAATGGGCACTGGTGTTTAAAGAAATTAGAGAAATTATTGGATATAATATTCAAATATCACCAATTATTGCCTTATTAAATATAATTAAGAATGACCACATTAAAAAACAGAAAGAGTTAATTATTATAATGGTCACATCAGCAAGACTAATATTTGCAAAGAACTAAAAAAGAGATAAGCAAATTAATCTTGAAGACTAATATAAAGAACTGTGGAATTTAGCGATTAATAACAAACTAACGTGAAATGAAAGTAAGAAGGGGAATGACAAAATATAATGATTTTAAAGAGATATGGAATTTGTATCTGAAATATGTCTTCGTGAAAGGGAAAGATCATAAGCCAGCAGAAGAACTGATGTCTATTTTTGGAGTGGAACGGGGTGAAAAGGGATTTAAAGGATAATTTGGTCCCTGGCTCTCTGATGGAGTCCTGGTTTGCATGCATGCAGTGTTGCTAGGGGGAAGAGTCCCTTCCTTTTTATTATTATTAAAGAAAAAATAACAAATAAAGGAAAGGAAAATAACAAAACTAACAAAGGTACATGTCCATACACAATACCAACCTTCCCCACTTCTGCCACCTTCACCCCGTTCCGCTCCAGAAATACTACATGGAAATA